GTTCAAATGAATCCATTGTTAAATAGTAAAAGTTAAAAACATCTGATAGTAAAAATGAATTTCAAAGCACAATACTTAGTTCATCCGAACATATTAAACATACGGAATTTGTAAATTTAAAATTTATAAGAGGTGCTCGAAATTTCCCGCGTTAAAGCCCAGTTTAGTTAGCATAAATATGTGTACAGTGAGACCTAGTTTAAGGTCTTATTGACTTGTACCAGCTTTCTGATCGCATCAGTTCGAGTTAACTATGAATGCTCTTAATATATACAGTGGCCTAGCCTCCTAATAGTGTGAATGCAAGTTTTAATACTCAGGTTGCCTCTTTACAGATTATAACTTTTATATATCATATGATGCCTTTTTAATCATGGTAAGTTTTAACAGACATAGCTGGGGGTCTGCGTTATGAGGGTTTTATGATATACGATTTTAATTTACACACATATATATATAGTGTGTGACGTAATTGACGATATATGTTGATGAAGTTTTTATGATTATTAAGAATCTATTTTACATAGAAAAAAATCATCGAATTTACTGAAAATTTTAAGGTGGACCTATGGAGGTATTCTTTGACGAAACAGCGGCATGCTGTATCTATTACTACACTGTATAGGTGCATTCATATGTATGTGTGTTATGCTCATCTTATAAAGTTGCTTAGTGGTACAAAAGTTTATATGAATGAACACTTTGGGACCATATTGCAGTTACAGTTTGACAGCTTACATTGTAATTTCGTTCTAGAACAAAACATATTTGCCTAAATGATAAGACTTAGAAATGTTTGCTGTTGTTGATTTATAGGCTCGTAAATGGCAGCCATACAGTCGGCTGAGTCATCTACTTGACAACGCCTAACTCAATACAGTATCCGACAGGAAGGCCATCCACATGGCGTCAATGCTAAAACTAAACACTGTTCTAAATGTCATTTATTTGACACTTCGATAGTGAGATGTAACATTTAAGTAATATGTCAACGTGTATTATTTTGTAAATATCGAATTTAAAAAAAGTATAATGTGTTACCCATTTTTTGTTATAAATAGTAAAAATAAGTGTCATAAATTATAATTTCGTATCATAATGCTAATTAAGCATAAAGCGTCGATGTCTGTGAACAGTTTAAGTCAAATTTCATTAGATCATTAATTGATAAAGGTAAATGTTAAGTAGGCGAATATATGATTATTAAACCAAATACAGAATATAGATTTCCTTGGATTACAAATTATCACACATTTAGATAGTAAACACATAAATACTGATATTGTTAAAAATAATCTTCATAGAGTATTTTGGTAAGTTTGAAAAGATATTTTATGAAGGTTTAAAAAAGCATGTTAAACTGAGTTCTGATCTTATTGTTTTATCTAACAACGTACTCGGGCAGCCAGCCTTCAAGTTACAAACCCAAGTAGATAATGATGGGAAGTGTGTCAGCTTTATAGGATAACCCGCCAAGTAAATTTCGTTTTATGGCACATCTCACTCTATTTACTTATAGCTGTAGGCCTCCGACAACTTACCGTACTGTGATGATGTCGTATTCGTTATAGAACAATGCATTGTTAAGATTTCTGGCTGTTAAGCTGCTCACAAATATGTTCTTTATCTAAGTAATATAGTAATACATATGTTATGGTTAATAATAAACTCAAATGTGATGTATTTATTTCACGCTTGTGACGTAATAACTTGAATCGTATATGCGTTTACATAATTTCAAACAATCATATTTATTCAGTAAATAATTATCTCGTGATCAATTCCTAGACATGCTACTCAAATTAAGAGCAGTGTGCAAACTAAGAAAACATATTAGTTAGACGCCGTGCATCTTAATTGTATCACATTATCGTTTCTACAGCAGTTTGGTAAAGCCTGGCTCTCTTCACGTGGTCAGCTTAAGACTAATAGTGAGTGCATATTAAGCATAAAAGGTGGAAGTAAAGATGAGATAAGAGTCATCTTTTGTTTTATGATGAGTATCTCGACTATCCTGCTTTCTCGAAATCGGCATATCAGTATATTACATTATATCACTAAGTAGCATGACCACACGTTCTGTTTGCATGCATATCGATGACAGGTGTCTGTGATTTAGAGTCTGCAGCCATTTCAGATTTTCAAACTAAATCTTTTGAAATAAATTTTTGAGTAAAATCATAATATATTATTTATAAAAAATAGCGGGGCCTGTTCAAAGCAAGGTAAGCTTCAATGAAATAATTCATACCTTATTTCCATAATTCACCACTAGCGATACTACAATACAATTTCCGCAGTCTGTGATGCTAACCTCGCTAACTGGAGGCTTCTGCGTGAATTCTGCACTAGAAACATACCAGGAAGTAGTCAGTTATGTCTATACGATCCGTATTAATTTTAATCTATCAGACCCACACCTGGCGAACGCCTCCATTACATACTTTATTAAAATGCCAATTTTTTATTGGAGATTTGGATGAGAAAAGGTTTTGTTTAAATGTGACTTGAACTAGTGTAATTCCCTGAGGATATGTGGTTCATTTAGCTTGGACAGTTAAATCTGATGGGATGTAAACTGAAATGATATTCTGTAAAAAGTATGTAAGTATGTATAACTGTAATATTCGTCTTTAATCATATTACTACTTTACTATGTGTTTCTATTTCTCTAACGCTACTTAGTAGTAAGTTAAACGGAACTGTAAACATAATTGATCTTTTTACTAGTATACAGCTGTAAGACACAAATTGGTCATGCAATGTTGAGAGTACTGGTAAACGTTTAATATATTATGTAAGTAAAATTCTTACTAACAGTAGCACGGTCAAGCTCAAATTCTAAACATGGTATTTTCCTGCAATCACAAAATAGCATACTAAGACATCATAGGAAACATTTTTATCTTAAAAATCTGTCTGAAATATGTCCAGAAGTGTATAGCTATTGCAATGTTAAACGTGACACAACAAAAACGCAAATGCAAATGATGATGAAAGTAGCATGCAGCTAAACTTGTTGATAACGGTCCAAGTATATATGAAAAACTTAGTAGTACACAATGGTTTATTTGTTAAACTTATAGGTTGTTGGATAAAAGTTGTCATAAATCGCTACTGGCTACATGTACTTCTTGAAATGTGTTATGTCAATAGCACTGTCTGGTCGTTACATAATGTATTATATAACACGTGCTTTTATGATTGTGTCCGATATACGAGTGGACAAAGGTTAGTCTATCACTGCTCCTAATGAGGCCGAACGTTCCAATTATCTGACCGTACACCTAGACGTTTATTGTCAGGTTGTGTTGTATAGAATACTTAAAGGTCGTAACAACTTAATATACATAGCAGTACGCTGGACTGACGATACACAAATAGACAAACCTGCAAATCCGGTCCTGAACAGTTCATATTATTCGCTATAAATGGGAACTTTAGGTTTGGATATTTATAGAATGTACTAAGGTATGTACCTAAATGAAACTTACAAAACACATTATATTAATTGTTGGAAGCGGTTATGGTTCATATATTATTTAAAGGATAATTATATAAGCTACGCATTTCTGCTTTTTATATTCTCTTCCTTTTACACTAAATGAATCATACAAAAAACACTATCATGGATGTCAATTCTGGGTTTAATGTTACATTAATGACCTATTTGAAAGGTAAAAAAGTAAAATATATGTAATTTTGAACTATAAATAGTGTTCGTAAAATATATTTTAAGGGAGATAACGTTCATTAAAACTACTTACATAGTGTATATGTTAAAATATATTTCCTTTAAACAACAGTTCTAATGCACCGACACAACGATAATTATTGGTTTTTAAGGAGAATTTGTTTTGTATGCTGTCTTTACATTTTCAGTGTGCAAATCAAAACGAATATAATTATGTTCTTTAGTTATATGGTATAGAAAATTCATACATCTGATTAATCGAAGTTTATTTGGTGTTTGTGAATGTGTCTGTGAGAACGTTGTTGGTATGCATATTTACGGGATTATATGTACTTGCTGGCTGTACGAATATAATCGATAAAGACGTAATTAGCGCTTGTGTCTGCGTGTGAAATGAGTGCATTTTCCTTGACTGCTTAACAATTTATAGAATAATTACGGTAATTCATTCAGAACAGTACCAAATGTAGGTATACATTGTATATATTTAGACACAGAATATAGACCATGTTTGCCCTTGGACCGACAGTCATATCAGTTTGGTTATACTCGTTAACTATTGTAGCGCCGTCGGACGTTCCATGTCAATGATCATTAGAATAAAGATACTCTCACCGATGGGTCGTTATTTTACTAGTCTCAGCATTCTCCTTCGTTATTTTACTAGTCTCAGCATTCTCCTTACTTATTTTACTAGTCTCAGCATTCCCCTTCGTTATTTTACTAGTCTCAGCATTCTCCTTCGTTATTTTACTAGTCTCAGCATTCTCCTTCGTAAACAGGGACAAAAGCCATAATCAAGGTCGATATCATATAGATGAAGTCGATTCAACTTGAATGAGAACCTGCTATTACATTGATGTACTCTGTAACAAAAGGATAAAGTGATATGTGACATCATCATGGCCTGTTTTCCAAATGAGTTCAATATTTATCAGATCCGGACTTATTCGCTATGTCTAAAATTATTTCATACTGGCATCTTTTCTTGTATTTGCTATTGACATAATGAAGATTGACTCAATTTTTTTGAAGAAACACAATCCCTCTCAACAGACCGGTTTCGTTGTTGCTCTATGTGAAATACCAAATTTTGACTTTTGATTTACTAGAGTAAATATCTATTAGGTGTATGCTACATATAACAAATCATTCCAATACACTATATCTACATGACTTTGTTTTTGTTTTGCTATCCATGTCATAACCTTTGAGTTATTATCAGTATAATGTGTCTTCCTATGTGATATATATCATCTCTTTCTTTGTCATCTCCTTGTTTGATGAGTTGTTTATGTCTTTACAGATGAAATGGATCCCGGTTCGCAGCGACGATCGGCATGTCTGTTTTGGATACTGACGTTGAGCACTTTTGTCTGTACAACTATATACCTATCTATGTGTACAGTTGAAGTGTAAGTAGTAGTAATTTAATATTGTTTTGTTTTCCTATATGAACATAGCTTTGATAATCATTTTTGAAAAGAAAATCATAGCTTGCGGTACTTTTTTCAAATAAAAATAAAGGATTCTTTAAAGAAAATCCCAAAACGATATGGCAACTGAATTTCCGATACACGGGGCATTTGTATAAATTGAATCAAAGCTACAGTTTCGGCTATGTCTTTATTTCGTTCTGAACATTTTATAAAATTCAATATATTCATATATCCTTAATAACAATTTTGATGAAAGCATATGCATTCGTTATTCCATTTATGCTTGCTGACATTCTATGCTGATCAACCATAAAAATATTTTTGTTAACGATATTAAACTATTAAACACATAATGATAATTTCCATAAGCTCATTTCAATAATAAATTCAATTTTTGCACATTGAAATAGTTTACAATGTGCATTTCTGTTCGTTGGTTAGTGCCATTGTATGGCAATCTGTAGGCCAGGTTTCCAATACCGGTCTAGCCCCACAATATGTTTTACGTTCAGAGCACTATTGTTTATTATTATTTTAATTGATTTTGAGCTGACTCTGATTGGCTGAAACAACATCATGTGACCACCTGTAAAAGTAGTTATAAACCTGAGTGGTTTGCAGGTGTTCAAAAAAGTTGGTAGAAAAAGTGTTATTGACCTGCTATAAATAGATTCTGGAATTTTTGTGAAGTCATTTAGATGATTAACACCTCATGGGAGATGAACACAGTAATGATCAAGATTAACACTGCAAATCACTTATTGCAGATATTTAAATGATTATTGCAGATTATTGCAGATATTTAATTAAAAAATGTTATTTTTCTGATATTTTTGTTTAGTTAATTTTAAAATTTGTGACTAAAAAAAATGGAAATTACATTTTTTTCTGATATTTTGAAAAAATCAATTAAAATAATAAAACTATTGTAGCATGGTGATTTCGGTCGATACATGGTTTTATCGACCTAGGTTAGCAATATTGACCTCGGACTGCGTCCTTGGTCAATATTGCTAACTTAGGTCGATAAAACCATGTATCGACCTCATCACCATGCTATAATTGTATATTATTTATTTAATTAATTTTGAGCTGACTCTGATTGGCTGAAACAACATCATGTGACCACCTGTAAAAGTAGTTATAAACCTTAGTGGTTTGCAAGTGTTCAAAAAAGTTGGTAGAAAAAGTGTTATTGACCTGCTATAAATAGATTCTGGAATTTTTGTGAAGTCATTTGGATGCTTGAATAACACCCCATGGGAGACAAACACAGTAATGATCAAGATTAACACTGAAGCCACTTGGATGCTTGATACTGCCTATCAATGATTATTGCAGATATTTAAATGATTATTGCAGATATTTAATTAAAAAATGTTATTTTTCTAATATTTTTGTTGAGTTGATTTTAAAATTTGTGACTAAAAAAAATTGAAACAAAAATGTAAAACTATATTTTTTTACATTTTTTTCTTCAATTTTGAAAAATTCAATTAAAATAATAAAACTATTGGAGCATGATGATTTCGGTCGATACATGGTTTTATCGGCCTAGGTTAGTAATATTGACCTCGGACTGCGTCCTCGGTTAATATTGTTATTGCGATAAAACCATGTATCGACCTCATCACCATGCTATAATTGTATATTATATTTTGTTTACTTTTGCTTCACACAATTCCAGCAAGGTATGGTTTTCTTTTCAAAATGAAAACCAATCTATAGTCATGCCGGTAAAAAATCAGTTTCCAAATCATACTTATAGTTTTCGGCAGTGGTACGGGGATCATTAAATTCATCCAATCGTATATCTTTAAACGTTAGATTTTTAAATATTCTAAGCTGAAGTAATACATGATGCATTATGATTTTATTGGTTATTTTATTCAAATTGTAGCCAAATTTTCGCGCTTGCATTTTTTTTATTACAATTAAACTGACATAACTACTTCTGAAATATTTAGGTTAAGTAGACATACAATATTGTTAATCAGTTAGTCAGCCTGTGTTGTTGTTTGTTTATCATCTTTATTTATTTGTTTCTGTCACCACAGACCACTGTCAAGTCAGGAACCATGCGCCTACATAGAGGGGTTAACCGTCACAACGGTCATTGCTTTTCTCTGCGGAATCTTTTGGTATTGTTACAAACAAAAGGTAGGTGACTGACCCCTACGGACACAGCGTTAATTTATAGGCAAAATTATCTGGTACAATTTAAACTGAAAGTAGGTGACTGTCCCCCATTAACATATCGTTTCTCCACGGAATTTTCTGGTACTACGTAAAATTAAACGTAGGTGACGCTGTCTCCAAGGCCTATAAAGTATGTTTGTGCCACTACAAACAGCTGGTAGATTTACTGTTAATTCGCGCACTTACTTTCTCCTTAGTTGAAATATGTTATGTTAAACCTGCTAAAAACAAAACAAAAAATAGGCATTCGTTCCATTGAAGTTCATTAATTACTACTTTAAACTATTTACACATACAGTGCAATGTGACGTTTGCTTATAAATAACAAATACCAACACACACATTATTTCCGCAACTACGTACACCTAAAAGTAAATAGAGATATCTAGCTGTGCTAAACAATACTATACTGTTGATATAATCAAACTGCAGATCCATTATATATGTTGCTTTAATTATACTTAATTTTGTTAAATCAGTTTAAGGTTATTAATAATCTTTTGATCGCAATTTTAACATAGTTTTCGATACTTGAAAATATGTTACCACGCCCACAGCGTTTCTTTTACGATATGATTTCCCTAGGGCACAGTCTGATACGCATTGTACAATTAGAAGGCCTGTTGACTATTTCTACGCTCATTGCGTTTCGTTTCTATAGGGCATTTTTTGGCACATTAGAAATACAAGGTATGTTGTTGCCTTTTTATAGCACCTTTGGTATAAAAATGGATATGTTAGGGTTGTTGGTTGGTTGGTTGGTTGTATGTTACCTGTTACAACGCTCATAGCGTTCATTTCCATCACCGGTTGGTACTTTACAAATTAATGGTTTTCGGTTACCGCAGTCATATCGTTTAGAGCAGCGTCTATTACTGTACAAATTAGGCCTATGCGAACAGTTATTACGCTGAAAGCGTTTCCTTTAAGTCACCGTTTGGTAATTACAACGCTCATATGGTTTCTTGAGGTCACCATTTGGTACTGTACAAATCCCATGGGATGTGCTCTTACCATGCTAATATATGTATTATAATGTATTATAAGTCACCTTTTGGAACAATACAAATTAGGGTATGCTGTTAGGATCCGCGGTGGTCGGCCTACGTGGGGCGGTCGCCAGTCACTGACTGCAGGTAGGAGGTATTTCTCCGGGAACTCCGGTTTACCTCCAACACCAATCCTGCAGGGCATGTCCTTAAATGACCATAGATGTAGGACGTAAAACAAAAACAAACAAACGATTGCTGTTATCATGCCCATAGCGTTTCTCTCGCGCATATTCTGGTACCGTTACGTGATGACTGTCTCCATCCTTAATTAATGTCTTACTGTAAAAAAAAAAAGTCAGGTTAGAGGCTAAACATAACATTTTCATATACGTTATAACCACTCCATCAAAACAGCTCTTTGGGCAACAACTTGGTCACACAGGCCAAACGGTCAAACAGTAAATAAACATTACTGTACAGATATGACGTGTAATAAACAAACAACAGCCTAATATAGAAACGTGCCATTTAACAGAAAACGTAAGCTATGCAATTAGCAGCTTTAAAGGTAAATAAAGCGATGTTTGTTTGTGGTATTTCCATCAGGTGCGAAAAACAATTGTCCTCACAATATGAGTCATCAACCAAGCCATCCTGACGTTGACCAACCGATGTGTCAGTGGTCCCTAATTATAGCGCGAAACAACAATAAATATATGAAGATGGGGATAATTTATCATATTTATGTGAGTTATCATATTTTGAAGACGCTCCCATCTTTTTTGGACGATGATATACGTTTACCTCACAATGAAGTTAATAGCGTAAACTTTAGTCAGACATCTTCGAAATCCAAAGATTCCGCACTCGGTGCACTTATCTTCCCTGTAAACCCTGTAATATTTCATGACAAAATTAAAGGATCGTTACGCTACGCTGTGCGGATGATACAAGTAAATATGTCTGATGTTTTGATGAAGTTCAAAGGAATCCACCGACTTTGAAGTTGGTTGTAGCTCCCCTGTAACCTTCAAAGGACAGGTTTGGTCAGGTTTTTGTGCCTATAATCAATCAATTAGCATACAGGGATCCTCCGATTTTGTCTTGACACATTTCAGAGACGCAGAGAAAGTAAATGTAAAGAAAACGGAATAATGAGAGTATAAACACTCCAAATAGATTTCAGTGAAATGCCCCTTTTCGATTGAGCATTATGCCATTCCTTTTAAATGTCTCAACCGTGTTTCCTTTGTCTTCTCTCATCTGTTTATTATTTTCTTTTCATTTTATGTTCTTTATCGACTTATGGTTTATTTTTCCTGTGATGACGCTATGATGTTTTTTATTTCACTTAATGGTTTCAGATGCGATACGGTACTTCTCTTGAGTACTACCTCCATCCTCTGCCGCTGTTTGCTGACGGCACTGAGCCCGAGACCATTCCCGTACCTGATGGTCAGCCAACCATGGCCGAGAGGATGTTACAAAGCGACATGCTTAAACCACTAATTAGTGACGACATCCCTGAAGGTAATACTCAAAAACTAAAAAGTTAAAGAACGACATTTCCATGCAGAAGACTATCGCTGCCATAATTTCACGTATCCTTGCTGCACGCTTATTAATTTATGTGTGAGCGTTTGTACTGACATTTAAATGAAATTGAATAGTAAAGAGAGAGAGATATGTTTCGCCATCCTTGGTTATTTAAGATGAACCAAGTGCCCCGAGATAGTTTTGGATCGTAAGGGTTGCAAAGAGATTCAGGGATCGTAGGTTTAAAGAAGGCCATGAATAGCAACCCTTTGTGAGCGAAGATTATAGAAAGACTGTAGAATAAACTAAATAGACAAATGTATTGAAACATATTTAGTACTATATCATATTTACGATACGTTTATCATACGTCCGTGATAGAGTCATTATAAAATTTTGCCCCCCTCCTACGATAGTCATAGAATCACTATTGGATATTGCACAATGACAACATGTATTTTAGGTCAGTGTGTAGTGACATGTTGTGTATACATGTTTGTACTTCATGTCGTTTTGTGAATAAAAGGCCTATTTCATATCACATTGGTATTACTGGTTGTCATTTGCCTTTTGTAAAATGAGTATGACTTGCTGTGTGGCTAATGTAAACAATCGCACACTATAAATATAAAACCTTTTCTTTTACTTTCTTACAGTACATATTTCCTTTGTATACATCATCTTAGGAACTGACCAGTTATCATAGCACATTTGCAAAAAATACCATATCACCAATATTTTATTAATATGACTTGATATTTTTCTTTTTCAGACTTTGAATGTGCCATTTGTAACGATAGCGAACATTCCATCACTCATAAAGTAACACGACTAAGCTGCAGTCACGGTAAGAACATCAAAATGTCATACACAAAGTAATAGTAACGTTGCATTTAAAAACGAAATCGACAATCTTTGTCACTAACATGGAGTTTTCCTCATATTCCATTCATGACAACATACTTACCCTTTTCGTCCGGATCTCAGTACTAACTGAAGTTATCCCATCGCCGTTTTATATAACGATTAATCATATAAGAATCTTAAATATTAAGTTGGTTGTAATTTGAGAGAGTGTGTTACGCTGGTTCCTAAGTTACAAAACAATTGTTTATTTCAGTGATTCATCTGGAGAGAGTCTTATGCTGGTTCCTTTAGGTAATTAGGGAATTAATATAAGCGCTTGACTTGTTTTCCTTCCATCTCAAATAGTTTCTGTGAATTAAACATGTTTTATCATTGAATGAAAATATTGCTTCAACAAAGCTAAGTAATGATTATGTGGATGTTTTTCGGTGTTTCACATGAAGTGTGTATTTTGATGGTTCGTAAGTAACGGTAACGGAGGTTTCTTCCAGTGTATCACAGGGAGCGCATGCTATGCTGGTTCGTGAATAGCGGTAACGATCAGGATTTCTCTCAGTGTTTCACCGGTATTGTCTATTTTGATGGTTCCTAACTAACGGTTATTTGGGTTTCTTTCAGTGTTTCACCGGGAGTGTGTGCTGCGGTGGTTTCTAAGCACGAGTAAGAAGACATGTCCCATCTGTAGGACGAGCCAGGTCCCGGAGGGACGTCTCCTTGTCATCACAATAATCCCACAGGAGGGAAGACAACCTGTCAGACTCTCGCAGGTGACTTTTTTCTACGTGCTATTTTGCCTTAACGTATCTGCAATTCATTACATGTTGTCTCAAATTTTGATATCATTCAGCGGAATCGTATGCTCGATGCAAGTTTTTTTATTCAGAAATTGTCTCCTCTGATTCCATTGTGTTTTCTTTTGTATACGGTCTTTCATTACTTATAATGTAGAATATATATAACTGATTGAAGTCAAAGGCAATATTGTTGTCATATTTTATACAGAGTTGTATATCGTTTTCTGCTTATCATTCTGCTTTAGGTATGACAATCCGGTGGCACATGTAAGGTGGGGATCTGATGCGTCATCTACCGTGCTTGTTTCTGGAAAGTCAAGATCGCTTCCGGCAACAGAACTGAGTCTAGCATTATGTGCCAGTAGTCACGTTATGATTGATGCCATGTTAATGCAATTGTTCGAATCGTATTATGGCAGAATGAACCAAACTCCAATACGTTACAAGTGTCTTGCACAGATTACTCCTTCACAATGGAGTAACCATTTGTAAAACCCGTGTTACTGATGAAAACAGACGAACCTGTTCATAAATTAACATGTGGGCCTTTCAGTTTATTTTTATAAGAGAACCATTAAAATTAAGACCAACGTAATTACGTTTTTCCTAAATGAATTTTGTACAGACACATTTTAACAATAAAGGACCGCACGACATTGGTTCATGTTTAAAGTGCATGCCAATGATGTTTATCTTTCAAAGATTACGTTTTGCTCCAGTAATTAATCGACCGCGCATGTGTGAAAATAACCACGTGCACATCTACAACGGGGGACTCAAATCTAAAATCGGTCTTATTCATGGTAAAATAATTAATTACAATGTTGAACACATGTGCTTTATACCATATATACACATCATATATTAGCGTGTCCAACACCTGTGACATTGTATGACGATTCTAATTATAGAAAATGTGTTGCAAATGTGTTTATAAGTGTATGGTTGTGGTTGTAATTATGTACATATGATGTGTGTAAACTGTGGATGTTTTATGAGCATGTGAAAGAGCTTTCATGTTTGACGAATGTGAGAAGACTGCAGTGAATGTACTAGTACAATTAAGAAGAGAAGAGTGTATCCACTTTCTTTATTTTGTTATTTTATTTATGTGACCGTTATAAATGATTTACAATATTGTTCATTGTTTGTATATAAGCATGACCATTGAACTAAGAGACGAATATCAACAAAAGATTTAAGTGCTTTAAAATGTTGAATAAATGAATTAATATTACAGAGTTTTCAGCATTTTTTTTGTTTAATTCTGTCTGTACACAGTATTATAGATTTATCAAAGGGAGATCACTCAAACAATCTTCTGATTGGTTGGAAAACATGTAAGGGTTTTGTAAAAGTAGGTTTACGCCTTATGCTAGATAGATTTAGACATAATATATGTGATACTTTTTTGATTGGGGAAAAATCTGAGACCTGATCAATGAACACAAGATACATGTAAAAGAACTATTCGACTTGAAACGAGCGATATAAGGGTTTTGTAGAAGTAAGTTTACGCCTTATGCTAAATAGATTTAGACATAATATATGTGATACTCTTTTGATTGGGGAAAAATCTGAGACTTGATCAGAGAACACAAGATAGATGTAAAAGAACTATTCGAATTGAAACGAGCGATAACCATTTTAAACAATTGTTATTACGAATTATGTCTCGATGAACAACATTACCGATGGCCAGCACAGTGGAAAAGGGGGTCGCCATACGAACTCGTTCAAACCTATGACTCGTTTTGTTACAACTTTTTCGTGTGCAGGGTTATGCCTCGTTACAAATTTTCTTGGATATTTAACTTGGTCTAGTGACAAACTCTCACGGATCGGCGACTTGAATGAGTCTGTCGGAACGGTAAATTAAGGTGAAAATATTGAATGTCTACGTCTAAATTGTTTCGTAATATTATCAAGAAAACGGCAAAAGGGGAATGGTGCCTATGACAGCTACCAATTTACCTCTTCGTTGTGCAACAGATAAAGTATCCGTCACCTACTATTTGGTATAAACCGTACCAAATAAAATCAAGCTATGTAGTTATCGCCAACAATGAATGCTACTAGTCCACCAGCAAAGTCAGCCAACATGAAGGTAAAGAATCACTGGAAATATTAAACATATCTAAAGATTAAGTAATAGATGTAACGATGTAGAAAGCAAAAGTAAACATTTCTATAGTGTTGCGAAATATTTGTAGAAAATATCTAAAGCACAGTAATGTCAACATTGTGCAGTATGTAATCAAACGTCAGAAAATAAAGAAGAAATGAAATCAGATGATAGGGGAGTACGCCATTTATCAAGATATTGAATTTGGATATATCAATGAGTGTACACAGGAAAACTTTCACACATCCAGTGATAACACTGTTACTGTTTTACAATCTCGTGATGTAAACGGAACAGTCGCTACACCCGATCCATACGTCCCAACACGTATCCACATCCAACGTTGTAAGATACAAAACTCCATGTGTTTTGTCCAGCAAACATGAAGATTATGTTCCGTCTTTTGGGATGATATACACCTGGTTGTTCCGGTAGTCTGGGACAAATAGTACGGCGTACTTATCACAGGACATCTTTCAAAGCCACCTGTTCCCAATTTGTTGGTTATTTTCTAACTCTCCTTTCCATGATCCAGTTTTCCTTTCAAGATCATCATTGAATATTATTTCCTGCGTAGCAAACTTGTCGGAGACAGATACTGCCAGACCTCCTAAAGTCAGACATTTTATAAAACATTCATTGGATTCGCACTCAAATTGTCTCATTCTCTCGCCAAACAGATTAAACACCAGTTCCAATGGCGTCCTTGTACTAACAAACACCTCGCCGTTGCTGTTGATGCTGACGTCCTACGGTGTATTTGGACTAGTGTCGGAAAATGTTGTCACATGTCTGTTGAGTAGTGATAGTTTATAAGTATATGTCTGTTGGTCCAGCCATGGCGATCTCGTACGGATAAATGTCGATGACCATACCTTCCTCGATGGACAGAGTTAGACCCTTGATACCCAAGCGTGGTTATCGTTGATGGGACGAACATTATATACTTGATTTGTTATGGAAACTTGTAAACGTACAGATACTTTGAATGTGTTTACTGTTGATGTCACTACTTAAACATTGATCATCAGTACAAGGTTTACATATATTCTTTCCTCACAAAAGTTGTCGTTACCTCTAGGAATGTCGATATCATTCTTGGACAAGTTAGTCTTCGCTGTATCTTTCAATTCACACATAGACAACAGCGTTTGATCACAACGTGAAATAAATTGGCTTCACAGTTAAAATTTTAACGATAATCCGTACTAAAGATGATAGCTCTTTAGGCTTCAAATCTTGTTTAACTTATTTTGATATAGTGTCTCATATTTCGAATATGGTTTGCAAGGAATAATTGATATCGAAAATGAACACATTCAATAAAATGTATATTTAACCAGATAGCAATTGTGTTTAAGTAAGATTACGAGTTATAAGGATTATTCTTTCCGAAGTGAAATTTTGCACTGTCCTTTTTTGTATACTTAAGCTATGTCAATGGGTTTTTTTCTGTAGTTGTGTTCAGGGATACTACATCCATTAAGTTCTACTTTTAATTCGACTTTGATAAAAAAAAAAAAAAAAGAAGAGTTAAATTATATATCTCAGGTGATTATAATGAGATATTTAAGTAACAAGATGCTTAACTGGTTAAAACGTGATACTTTAACGCGTATAATAACGAGGTGGTAATAAGGGCGTGTTTTTGGGACTGAAGGTATTAATTGTTTATCGTGTTATATAGCGACTGGTCACTACACTATTACAACCCAGAGTTGTCTTGTCGCCATGCGACGATAATGTCCTAAATCCGATATAGTGTCCGTGTCAAAATAGTGAGTTTATTTATTTGCTATCGGTTATACAATGTGATTTGGATGGGTCTTTTCGAGTCGTTTGGCAGTACTAAATCTCTCCTGCTCGGCCGTTAGGACGGGATGTTTTGTTAGTTCGGATTTGCAACATAGTCAAATTCGCTGAAACATTAGAGCATTTTACCAAAGCCTATGTTCCACTCTTGAAAGCGTATGTGCATAATCGTGTTTCATCCTACACTTCCAATATCCAATAGTACTGAAAAACAACAATCTTCTTTGGGTATCTAAACCGGTATTTCTAATGATGTCTTATTTCGTATCTTTTTAGAGTTCCCATTTAGTCCGTTGATGGTGACGCTGTGTTATATTTTGTTAAATTTAATGTTAACACAGCATGTAGAATATGTAGCCTTATCAGACAGGTGGTTTTTTAAATGTTTTCAAATGGTGTGCTATCTAATAATTCAATCTTGCTTGTAACAAGCATTTGCATTGGCTTAAAAAAATATGTTATCAACCCATAACGTAAAAAATGACGTCGCCGTTTGTAACGTCGCTTTTGATTGGATGATACAGCAGCGCAATAATTTCTAAGAGAAAAGGGACTCAAGATACCATACTTATGGGTCATTATAGTCATAGTGGATGGCATATGGTGTCAGATATATAGTCCAATGTTAATACTACAATGCATCTGTAGTCATCCTTACAAAGTTAACAATACAAGTGTTCTATTTGTTTCTAAATCAACCAATAATTACACTGACCAAGAATCATACAATCTTACAAAGTTAATAATACAAGTGTTCTATTTGTTTCTAAATCAACCAAATATTACACAAACCAAGAATCATACAATCTTACAAAGTTAATAATACAAGTGTTCTATTTGTTTCTAAATCAACCAACAATTACACTGACCAAGAATCATACAATCTTACAAAGTTTAGAATACAAGTGTTCTATTTGTTTCTGAATCAACCAAATATTACACAGACCAAGAACCATACAATCTTACAAAGTAAAGGTTACAAGTGTTCTATTTGTTGATATATCAACCAAATATTACACAGACCAAGAATCATACAATGTAGTCATCCTTACAAAGTTAACAATACAAGGGTTCTATTTGTTTCTAAATCAACCAATAATTACACTGACCAAGAATCATGCAATCTTACAAAGTTAATAATACAAGTGTTCTATTTGTTTCTAAATCAACCAACAATTACACTGACCAAGAATCATACAATCTTACAAAGTTAGGAATACAAGTGTTGTATTTGTTTCTAAATCAACCAAATATTACACGGACCAAGAATCATACAATCTTACAAAGTTTAGAATACAAGTGTTCTATTTGTTTCTGAATCAACCAAATATTACACAGACCAAGAATCATACAATCTTACAAAGTTAAGAATACAAGTGTTCTATTTGTTTCTAAATCAACCAAATAGTACACAGACCAAGAATCATTAATCCTTACAAAGTTAGAAATACAAGTGTTCTATTTGTTTATATATCAACCAAATATTACACTGACCAAGAATCATACAATCTTACAAAGTTAAGAATACAAGTGTTCTATTTGTTTCTAAATTAACCAAATATTACACAGACCATGAATCATACAATCTTACAAAGTTAAGAATACAAGTGTTCTATTTGTTTCTAAATCAACCAAATATTACACAGACCAAGAATCATACAATCTTACAAAGTAAAGGTTACAAGTGTTATATTTGTTAATATATCAACCAAATATTACACAGACCAAGAATCATACAATCTTACAAAGTTAGGAATACAAGTGTTCTTTTTGTTTCTTAATCAACCAAATATTACACAGACCAAGAATCATACAATCTTACAAAGTTAAGAATACAAGTGTTCTATTTGTTTCCAAATCAACCAAATATTACACAGACCAAAAATCATACAATCTTACAAAGTTAGGAATACAAGTGTTGTATTTGTTTCCAAATCAACCAAATATTACACAGACCAAGCATCATACAATCTTACAAAGTTAAGAATACAAGTTTTCTATTTGTTTCTAAATCAACCAAATATTACACTGACCAAGAATAATACTATCTTACAAAGTTAAGAATACAGGTGTTCTATTTGTTTCTGAATCAACCAAATATTACACAGACCAAGAATCATACAATCTTACAAAGTTAAGAATACAAGTGTTCTATTTGTTTCTAAATCAACCAAATATTACACTGACCAAGAATAATACAATCTTACAAAGTTAAGAATACAGGTGTTCTATTTGTTTCTGAATCAACCAAATATTACACAGACCAAGAATCATACAATCTTACAAAGTTAGGAATACAAGTGTTGTATTTGTTTCTAAATCAACCAAATATTACACAGACCAAGAATCATACAATCACACACAGGTAGTAAGTTTATTAAAAATATATATATATATATATATATATATAATATATATATTATCAGCCGGATCTAAATCAGCAGGATATTACAACGACTAAGAAAATACAAGTGTTCTTTTGGCTCTAAACCAACCGGATATTACATAGACCAAGACTTGTACAGTCCTTACAAAGTTGTAATACAAGTGTTCTGTTGGTCTCGAAGTCACCCGGATATTACACAGATCATAAAATCACACAAAGTTAGTTGTTAGATTATTGAAACACACAGTATATAAAATAAATTGTTCATCAATGAAAACAATTTCCAGAGACGTACAAACATCCGTAACAATTTTATGTTGGGTTTGGTTTGTTCGTATTTTACGTCCTATTAACAGCTATGGTGATTGGAGGACGTGCCAGGTTTCGTTGGTGGAGGAACCAGTTCCCGAAACCTGGCGACTGCCCCACGTAGGTCTCAAACCCTCGACCCAGTGGTGGAGGGCTAGTGGTAGCAGATCTAGAATGACAGATGCATCAACCACTTGGCCATTGTAAGTAAGTTATATCGTCTGAAAACATCATTTTGATACTAATGGATGATAGTAATATTTGTTTTTTTAAGAAACACGACACATGAATGACATAAAACTGTAGCCGTTTTAAAGTCTCATGACATGAACGGTGCCGTCCCCACACCCGACCCATACGTCCCCACACGTGTCCACACCCACCGCTGTCGGGCCTTCCACGCCGTGTTTCTCTTCCAGAAGGCAAGCAGCCAACATACCATTTCCTGACAGAACATACACCTGGTTGTTGTTGAAGTCAGGTACGAACAGTCTGTCATGCCTGTCACGTGACATCTTACACAGATGCATCTTCTCAACATTTTTGCCGTTTTCGAGGTCACCTGCCCATTTATTGCTTATCTTTCCATCATTGGTTTGAAAGAGTATTTCCTCTGAATGAAACTTTTTCGAGACGGATACTGCCAAACCGCCTGCCGACAAACATGCTACATCCCATCCTTTGGTTCCAGACGGAAACTGTTTGATGATGTTTCCTGAATAATCAAGCACCACTATTGTTGGTGCCCCGGTACTTACAAACACCTCGCCGCTCTCGTTGATGCTAATGTCACGTGGTGTGTGTGGACTGATATCTGCAAATTCGGTTACACATCTGGTGTGCAAAGTCAGCTTATATAACGATGTCCATTTTCCGTATCTCGTTATAAGTATATCTGTTGATCCTAACATGGCAATCCGGTACGGTGATAATGTCAGATCTACTGTTTCAATGACTAATCCCTCACTATTGACCAGTGCTAGGCCTTCGAAGTCACATATTGATAACCAGGCGTGTCTGTCGTCGGTCGGGCATATAGAAAACACTTGATTTCGTTGTTTAAGTACTGTAAAAGTACAGAGGCAATGAACATGTTTGCTGTTGATGTCTATTTTCTGATACTGGATATCGGTATGTAGCGTGCCAATCGTCTTCCTAAACAGGAAGTTGTCGACGCTCCCTGGGAGAAAGGTCGGCGTCTTTCGCGGTAAAACTTCACCAACATCATACTTGGTCAAGCCGACCGCCAGAGTATGCTGCATTTCAACAACAGATTCATTCGATGTGGCCGTCAATCCTGTTCTTAGCAATCCTTTTAATTCTTGAACATTTTCCTCGGATCGTTGACAATCCGTCTTGAGACACATTGACTCTTCTTTCTGCAAGAACGATAACCCATACAATACTGCATCCGCAAGATAATCCACTTCAGCCTTGACCTTAGCCCTTTGTGAGTTCACCGCTTTGCCCACTGTATCAATGGCATCCTCAAAGTCTTTGTTAAAACGTTGTCTGTTCGATATCTTATCCTCGAATTGTTCGATTTTAGTAGCAATAGCTTTCATGTGTTCCTTCAATTTCTGCTTTTGGGTGGTAAACTCTTCATCAAAATGTCTCCAGTCGTGTTCTCTGTGTTCCTGGGAAAGACACATGGAACACATGATTATGTCACAGTCTGAGCAGTACAGATCACGCCGTTTACCTGGGTGAAGTTTACATACCTCTGCTACAGGTGTGTTGCTCTGACATTTGGCGTCCCCTATCGATATAATGACGTGGTTTCTAATATTCTTCACAAGTTGATGCGCCTCCTTACACCGGTCACACAAAGTCTCCCGACAGTCGTTACAGTACCATCTTACCCTAAAGTCGCTGTCACAAAGAGAACACGTGTAAATAACAGCTTCTTGCGCACGCAGTACGGATCTATTGCTGGCCATGCTTGTTTTATAAAATAAACAAAATTGTAAGCTTGGGTTTATCTCACTGAGACAATTTTACCCAGAATTCCAACTTCCTTCTTGCTTAGTCATCTTATTGTGGTGCACGTAGATTTTGTTTGCTTCCCATTGAAATGTCGAGTGGATAATACTTAAGTCTCGGTCCTGTACTTATAACGACGTATGTTGATGCATTTTGATCTGTATTGTTATACATATAACAGCTAGTTATATCAAATCACATACATGTATCCGACATAAGAAAAATGTTGACAAAAACAAGCAAACCTGATGCAACCAGCACACACGTCACAAAGAGGCACACATATAAATAATAACACCCTATAATTCTTCTCCGCAACAGCTCAGTATAGTTCTCCTCATTCTGCCCCAGGATGCCAACACACTATATTTCTCCTCGCTCTTCCCCTAGTGGGCTAACACCCTATATTTCTCCCCACTCTGCCCCCAGTGTGCTAGCACCCTATATTTCTTCTCCTTCTGCCCCCAGGAGGCTAACACCCTATATTTCTCCTCCCTCTGTCCCCAGGGGGGCAACACCTTATATTTCTCCTCGCTCTTCCCCCGGTGGGCTAACACCCTATATTTCTCCCCACTCTGTCCCCAGTGGGCTAAAACCTTATATTCCTCCTTCCTCTGCCCCCAGGGGGGCAACACCCTATACCCCCCCCCCCCCCCCCCCCCCCCCGGGGGGGGGGGGGNATATTTCTCCTACCGCGGCGCCATCCTTCTGCTCACACGGGGCAACATCCTCTGTTTAAGTTAAATCGATTTAGGCAATGAGTCTCCAAAATGAATTATATTAAAATCCCTTTACTTTTATTCAAGAAGTATGATTTTATAGATTTAATATGCTTCCACTTTTGTGCCCCTCCTCTACGCCGCAAGAAAGACAACACCCCTTTCTATACCATACTGAATTTCCTTGGCCAAAACATCCTCCACGCCAAATTATGTTGAAATATACCCATACTCTAGTATTAGGAGCTCCCGTGGCCTAAGAATATTTCAGATGAATCTAAGTTTAAAACCTTTTAACCATACTCAATGAGAAGTGTGTTTAATTTTTAAAGATTCATATTTATTTCTCCTACTAAAGGCCCCTCCCCTCTACCTCAAGAAAGGTCATGTTCTTTATTTATACAAAATTACATTCCTTAAGCCAAAACATATCCCATACCAGATTATTCTACCATACCCTCCGTTTATATAGCCTAGAGTCTCTTTGGCCCAATAGTACTAAAGACCAATTTCTAAATGTTAAAAACACTTTCATTATCATCAAAAAAAGTTGTGTTTTTTTTTTTTAAAGTTTTACCTTTATTTCACCTATTTGACCCCGCATCTCTCCCCAAAGGAGTCATATCCTTCATTCTTATGATTCAATTTTGAGTGTCCTTACCTTAGCCTTGTTAAGCTTTTTATAAAACTTGTCAAAATCCATTCATCTAATTCCTTGGTCAAATGTTCTGGCAGATGAGCTAAACTCCAGTTGTTTATCTGTTGCCAATTACGCATATTGTAGTGTATGCTTTTGTATTTGGCTGATTTAGATAATCTGAAATAAGTGTTCACTGTCCTAGCTCGTTTTTAAAAATGCCTATATTATATGGTAGTCATTTGATACCAGTAGTAAAATGTAAATGACGGTTTGATGAGATTATGATTAGAATAAAAATCTTTTGAAATTTTATTTTTATCTATTAATTGTACGAGTTGCTTCCCTTCTAAGGTCAGAGTTCATATTATCATGTGACTCCCATGTTTGGCTGTAATATTGGACAAAATGGAGGACGGGTTGAAGATAGCGAGTGCTAGTCTGCGGCGAATGTTTTACTTGTTGACGCCAAATGAATCATCATTCAAAGACGTGAAAGAGGTCCCCAGATATGTGGATGAGGTAAAGGATGTTTATTGTTTTGGTGCCTTCGTGTAGATTGGCCGGACTGCGCAAAATAGTTTCACTATTTTGACACTGAACGGGTAACATGAAGGAAAAAAGTGAAAATATGCGCTTTCTCTAGGCATAGAAAAACTTATCTTGACTCTCCAGCAATTCTGATGTAAACATTTCATACTTAGCCACTTCGTTTTTTGTTTCTTAAGTTTTGCATACGAAGTCTTTAGCCTGTATTTAATAATTTTACGGTTGTATAACAGGTGCTGTGGTTACTTATGTAACAAGTCGAATCAGCATGAAAAGCCATCAAATAGGAATGGGCTACTGCTACACCCAGTTAACCTATGGTACACTGACATAAGTCTGAGTGAAATACATTGTCAAGTTGTCTAAAATTGGATACATATTTTCAAGTTTGCTTCATTCATAATCCGGTAACTTTCTTGTAAATAGTAAATTTATACAAACTTTGCTTGTTGAAAAATAATACTATAAAAAATAGTATTCTATAATCACTCAATATGTATTTATTGAAATTGAGCAGGTATTCCTCATTTTATCTTTATTTTGGAAAAATAGAGTATTTTTGTTAGGGGGATCAGCCTACTATCGAATGAAAAATAAAGACAAAAATTCACTATTAACAAAATGAAAAAGATAATTTCCTAAATGCATCTTGAGTAAACAAATATGTGAGTTTTGCAGGCATTAGATAACTAAAATAAATATTATAACAAATTGCGAGCTAAATCAGGTTTTTAATCCTCAATAAATAAAGTTAATTATTATTATTTTAATTATTATTAGAGGGTTTGTTCAGATACTGTTATGTATTATGTTACTTGTTACATAATCTATCTTTCTTACTGTAGATTTGACAGAGATATAAATGTCTGACATATCATACCGGTAACATACTGACACAGTTTTAGACAACAGAAAGTCAATATAGGTTTTTGAATAAACCTGAAGAGCCCTGTGAAGGGTAAAAGCAGCTGGTTTTTAAGTCTGTCGTTAATCTGATTTTTTCTATATATACATATAAAAGGAAACAAACTTGAGGGAGCTATTCAAAGTCTGGCTATCTTGCCAAAGGAAAAATCAAAATGTGTATTTATTCTGGATACTTTCTAAATTTTATAAATCAGTTTTTGACATAAACACCCCTCGGCTGGTGTATGAAAGTCAGCACTTTATTGTGACCTTTGAACTGATGAAACAAAAAACGAATTATTAAATGCTGACCAAATTATTGAATGATAACCAAACAAAATTATTGTTACTGGGGTATTTTGTAATTGGAACTCACAAACTCAACATGAAGCATGGGATTTGTCATTTTCAGACGGCATTTATATTGACTATGAATGCCAACTGAAAGCAGTACAATGCTTAAATAATTGAAGCAACCCTGACATATAATTAGTATCTTGACATGCACTATCTCTCTGTTTATGTGTAAATAGTTTGTTTATATATTAACTTGATATCTGATAAATGTTGACACACACTGTCACAGTACATGTAGTGTGTTTGTGGTGGGCTAATTTATAGTTTTCTGACTGGCACTGGTGACACAGAATTCAAGTTTTTATCTTAGATTATTTATAAATATTTGTCAGCTTCCTTCTTAAGCCTGTTGAATGGATCCTATCTATTCTCATTTAAAAATAGGGCCTTGTATTCACATTTTTTTTCAAAATATGTTCCCAACACCTAGCAACTAGTGACTTGATAATATATCTGTCTACAGTACCAAATGACCTTATTGGTTATTTTACATTTATCCAATAGCAGATGATTAACTTCCATGAAATATTAATTCAATTTTGAATGTCTGTTTCTAGCTGATATCTCTGTCTGTCTGGGCGAATTATTTTGATCTGTTGTCATTAATAAGTATTTAATACTTCGTGTATAATGCCCTGATCTATACTAGCCCAATAAGAAGACAATGAAATTGAGAAACACTGAATACCTCATTAGCTAACTATAAATGGATGATGAGCCCCCTGATAAAGTTCAGGGCCTGTATTCATTAAACCTCTCTCATGCTTAAGCATGGATTCTGTGCTCAACTAATTTTCTTGCAACTCGTAAATAATTATAACTGATGTTTGTGATATTGATTTTGATAAAATGTCCTCTCCCTTTCAGGCACTTCCTGCATTCATAGTCCTGGCACTGATCGAAATCCCAATACTCTACCTTCAGGGGAGGCCACTCCCCAGGTTTAATGATACTTTTAGTTCTTTGGCTGCAGGAGTAGTCTCACAATTTCACAAGTAGGTAATATTGTGTGGATGTCATAGTAATCTGCTTGAGTTAAAGATACATGTGTTTGCTTCACAACTATAAACATTCACCCTTTGAGCTCCACACTGCAAGAATGTTAGGTAATTAAATAAATTGTCTGTGCCATTTTATCAAAGGGTCAAAAAACAACCAAACTAAAATGTTTATTTTAAAAATGCACCTTAATTTACAAATAATTTGCTTATAAGCCAACAAGATAAACCTTTAAAATGGTTTGTTTCCTGTCCAGGTCATTTTAAAATGACACCTACTCATTTTCATTTTGGGTTTTTTCATTTCATTTTATTTTTTGCTGAAAAACACCAAATATCAGTGTTTTTGTATTGAAATATGACATTTCTAGAAATAAAAAAAAATATCCCTATACTGAATTTATTATAACAACTGACAGAATAAGAGAACAAAATTTTGTCTACAAATTTTCAAACATTTCTTCCAGTAGATAAAGAGCAGCTATACTCATGGCAATAAATCATAAATGTTCAAATCTGTTTTCTTGAAAAGATATAATGATATTATTTTTATCTGATATGTCAAAACATTTAAACAAGTGTACAGTTTTAATTGAATTACTCCTAATAATTCATTCAGAAACATATAAGAACTCTTCAGATATTTACAGACATATTACAGAAAACCCTTTTTATAACGCCCCTAGGTTGACCAACTTGTCAGTGTGGTTCAGTGTCACTTTTTCTTCTTTCCCTTAAATTCTCTATAAATGTGTCCCTCTAGTATGTCACCAAATCTCTTTATAATCCAACTTTTATCTAAAAACCTGGTGGCAGCATTACAAGGTTTACTGTATGCATACATGAAATGAAAACTGTTCAACATACACAATTTCCCCTATTCCAGTTTGCTGTTCCGTGGTGTAGAAATAGCCACCTACATTTGGGTGTACGATCGATGGAACATTGTGTCGCTACCCTGGGACAGCCCTTGGACTTGGCTTTTTGGACTGATAGGTGTAGAATTTGGATACTACTGGGTACATCGGACAGGACACGGTAAGATGTTTTGCTACTATTGCAGGGTATTGTTTAACTCATTCACACTTGAAGTTTCATAATGAACTGTTCCAACCTTTGAATTGGAAGGGTTCAAATGTGTCTTCAGGGTTGAATGAGTTAAAGGAGCTGGTACCAGAAAGAAAAGGACAATTATTAGAAAGAGTCTGTGAGTATAGACCTGGGTTAACAGCATCCTTCACTCCACACACTATTCTATTCATCAATCACACTAGTTCCTGTAGGAACTTTCCCTATGTGGGTATTTCCCCACAAGATTCATATTTGTTAAGTTCAAATTCTCCAATGAAGTAATATGTATTAACTCTATTATGGCTTTTCCCTTGGGAACTGTCTACAGTTATTAGTATTGCCTTGAGAGGAATTTTGCACTCACCTGATAGCCCAAGCACTATTCTTTTTAGGACAATTACATTATCAGACAAAATCTACTTCAGGAAAGGGCCATTTTAAATTGAATAATATCTCAACTTGTAGGCACTGTTTTTAGCTCACCTGACACGTCGTCCATCCGTCCGTCGTCCATCTGTCCGTCCGGCGTCCGGCGTCAATATTTTACTTTAAACGACTTCTTCTTAATAACCGAAAGGCCTAGGGTGTCAATATTTGGCCAGAAGCAAACTTGGATGAAGGGCTACAAAGTTTGTTAAAATCAATGACCTTCACCTATTTTCAAGGTCACAGGGGTCAAATATGTCAAAAACTTTAAACATCTTCTTCTCAATAACCAAAATGCCCAGGGAGATGATATTTGGCCAGTAGCATGCTTGGGTGAAGGGCTACCAAGTTTGTTCAAATGAATGACCTTCAATTATATTCAAGGTCACAGGGGTCAATTGTATTAAAAAACCTTTAAACAACTTCTTCTGAATAACCAAAATGC